TTCTTACTTCAAGCTTCTTTCAGTTTAAGTAAAAGAATCTCTTAGCAATATCTTTTCTTATATTTGCTATTCTTTGTGTGTAACTTAAKATTGTTTWGATAGGTTTCTTATAACTTATCTTTCCGCAGACAATCTTGTAAAATCTGTATTGATCTTCTTTATCAATATATATTTTAAATTTGAAAATTGTGTTTGTATTCATTCCCCCCCTTCTACAAACTGTTTAGTATTCTTGTARACCCTTTGGGACCAACACTTAATTATTACATTTATTTGTTTAGATATTTTGTTTTGTTAAAATGGATATTTAATCTAAAATTCTAAATTGTATATGTTTTTTAAGTTTAATATTTAAAGTTTATTAAAGGCCAAACCGCCTAAACCGGTCAGACCGCCTTTTCGTGGTCTGGTTTGACCGGTCTAGGCACTTGATGTCAAACTGTAAGAGCCCACAATTCTAACCATGATATAAATAACAACAATCATTCAAATCTACCTATAACATTTGAAGTATAACCCACCATAATGTATTTACATAACAAGAGAAAATATGGGTTAACAAAAACTTTGTTCATTACAATACAAATATCAAAATATCACTTCATTATATTTTCTCCTTGCCTTTGTCTTGTGATGATAGATGACCTGCAAAATAGATTAGTCCAATGATTGAGCGCTAGACCAAAAGGTCTAGTGAGTGTATCTTTCTCATACCAACAATATATATATTTTAAAATCAAAGATTATAACAAACCTATCATTTCATCAGTTCATCTATCGCGGTTACGCCGCCAGTTCCTCTATTGCGGTTACATACATTAAATCTTTTCCTCTTTAATCCGATTATATATATATATATATATATATATATATATATTATGTGCCAATACTTTATCAAGTTAATCATGAATCCGGCCAACGCTTCAGGTGGTTTAGGATAAATCCGGATGGCACTATAGCCGGTTTAGGATGAATCCGGACGACTCTTCATCCGATTTAGGATGAATCCGATCAGTTCTTCATCCGATTTAGGATGAATCCGGACGACTTTCCATTCGGTTTAGTATGAATATGGTCAACTCTTCATCCAGTTTATGATGAATCTGGACGACTTTCCATCCTGTTTAGGATGAATCCGGGCGATACTTCAACCGGTTTAGGATGAATCTGGGCGATACTTCATCCGGTTTAGGATGAATCCGACGATACTTCATCCGGTTTAGGATGAATGTGGACAATACTTCATCCGGTTTAGGATGAATCCGGACAACTCTTCATCCGGTTTAGGATATTGACATGTCCAGTAAAAATGTTAATCAAATCATAAATAGCAATATTACGAAGCAATTGCATCATATGCATATGATTACTATACATAATAGAAAACCATTAAACTCACCTTAGACCAAAATCTTAGTTGAAATAGAATTGCTTCTTCTATCCGGAAATAATAAATTGCCCAAAGAGACCTTTTTGAGATATGCAAAATGGTAAAAAAAAAAAAAAAACCTCCCTAGTTCACCCAAACTTTCTATTTATAGCAAGAGGAAAAGTATTGGGCGGTGCATGGGCAGCCGCCACCACCCTCCCTATGCATCACACAAAATCAATATTTAATAGAAATAATAAGGAAAATATAATTCCCAAGCTAAATCCTCAAAACCCTCACACTAGAAGCAACCTCGAACTTTTCATTGTCACATAACTTTAAAACCGATCAACTAATAATCTGAAAATTGAATATTACACAAACCGTTTGATTTGAAAATTTTATAAACCATCATTATAGTTTGGTTTGTGGTCTGAGGGGTTAAACCGTCTAAACCGGACCGTGAACACCCCTAAATATTACATATAAATTTGCAATATAGTCTCTTTAAAAATATATTTTAGAAAATAAACAAGTAAACCAAAATATATACAATTTTTAATATCCGCACAACGCACGAGAAGGAACACTGGTGTTATAGAAACTAAAAAAAAATTTATACTTAATTATTTAGAATAAAAACTCAAATGTTTCATAATATTACATAGATATATACCAGTATTAAAGACATTAAATACAAATTTACAAATCTATTTTCATGTATTGTTTCAATATACAAACGTTATTTAATATAAAAAATACTTTAGGAATTGTTTGGCATGTGGATAATAACTTAACATCAAACTTATTATATGATTTTTTGATTAATTTACTTGAGTTTATATTACATATTCTTTTCGTCCTAAAATAATGATCCATATTATTATTACACATTCTTCCGCCGCATTACACAGGTACACAACTAATATATATATATATATATATATATATATATATATATATATTTTATATTTGAAATTTGCTGATGTTTATCCGTCAAGAAAACTAGTAATTATTACATGGCACAAAGCACTTATAAAAATTCGAAAAATCGACAATGGATTTCTGTCTGCAATTGTCTGGTCTGCTTCCCCAACCCACCCACCACCCCCGCCCCCTCTATTTTACTCATCGAATCACTCTCTTCCTCATATCCTATCTGAATGCGACAAGATAACGAATCCTACTCCATTAACCGTGTGTTAAACATTGTGCATCTGTGTGTGTACTTTTCTTTACAGATCCAAAGATCTCTCCCTCTATAATCTATATATACTGCCAATCTTTCTCTGTCTTCGTATATACGTTAAATTTTAAGATCAGATCTTTCCTTAAGATTCTATCAATTGTTTGCCACCATGATTTAGGGTTCATACTCATCCATTTCAATTGGGTTTCTGTTTTTTAACCCGAATCGCAGGGAAAAAATGCTTAATCCCGATATTATTTTTCTTTCAAGTTGGATTGTTAGTAAGTTGGTGATTTGGTGGAAGTGAAGCCTACCCATGTTAATGCTTTGCAAGTGTTCGACAAAATTACGCAGTGGGTTAGATTGATATACTTTCGTTTTTGCTGTAAAGGAGGTATGTAAATATGTTGCTCTTTGATTTTGATTTTGATTTTGATTTCTCTGGATATATTTGTCCCTTTCTTTCTTCTATTTAGAGTAATTTCCATATGTACATATATCTTTTCAGCTTAGAACTTTTTACCCAATTTAGGAAATTTCGATGCATTTATTCACATGTAATCGGCGGTCGTTGCAAAAGTCTGCGGGTTTTTTGTTCTTACTGTTTTTATGCTTCATACGATTTAGTTCTTCCCTTCTTATTATCATTCCAGAAGACCAATTATTCTCCTTATAATCTTCAATTTGTTAGCTTATATTGTTGTTTGGACGATTTTGTATCTTGTCGAAGGATAAGTGAGCATGATCCGTAGTTTGGGATGAACAAATTGTTCTTGTTTCTGGGCTCTAAATCGTAGAGATGTGTCATCTTTTTGTGTTGAAATCTAAATTGTTATATTATTTTGATACAAATTACTGTGTTTTTATGGGTCTGTAGAGAAATGGCAACACCAGTTGAACCACCAAATGGCATTAAATCAGAAGGGAAGCATTACTTTTCTATGTGGCAAGCACTGTTTGAAATCGATACCAAATATGTTCCCATCAAACCTATTGGTCGAGGTGCATATGGTATCGTTTGTTCTTCTGTTAATCGTGAAACAAATGAAAAGGTTGCGATAAAGAAGATACATAATGCGTTTGATAACCGTATTGACGCCCTGAGGACTTTACGTGAACTTAAGCTTCTTCGCCATCTTAGACATGAAAATGTTATTGCTTTAAAAGATGTGATGGTCCCGATCCACAGGAGAAGTTTCAAGGATGTCTATTTGGTTTACGAGCTTATGGATACGGATTTGCATCAGATTATTAAGTCATCTCAGGCACTTACGAATGACCATAGCCAATATTTCCTCTTTCAGGTATGTGGGTTGCTACTGTTTATACTTCCTGGGCTTTGGGCTCCTCCCCTTAGGTTGCCGGTTCAAGTCTCCTCAGGTCACTAGAGCTTTTCCTTACTGTTATTTTTAGGGCCCCATGGGTTTTGTACATTTTACACTTTTCGGCCTTGGGGCTCCCCCATAGGTCGCCAATTTGAGTCTCCTCAGCCCTCAGGGTCACCAGGGATTTTCCTGGTAGTGATCTTCAGGGCCCCATAGCCATAGGATTAGTACTGTTTATACCTATGGGGATTCTCCCCATAGGTCGCCGGTTCGAATCTTTTCTCAGGTCACTGAGGATTTTCGTGGTTGTTATCTTCAGGGTCTCATGGGATTAGTACGGTTTATGCTTCCTGGCCTTGGGGCTCGTCCCCCTAGGTAGCCGGTTTCGAATCTTTCTCAGGGTCCTTGTGGATTTTCGTAGCTGTTATCTTTGGGCCCCATGGGATTATATTGTTTATACTTTGGATTTTTGTGAATTTTGAAAATAACCCGAATTTCGTTCTTAGTTGTTGCGAGGCTTGAAGTATCTCCACTCTGCAAACATTCTTCACCGTGATTTGAAGCCTGGAAACCTACTCATCAACGCAAATTGTGACCTGAAAATATGTGATTTCGGGCTTGCACGTACAAGAAGCGGTAAAGATCAGTTCATGACAGAATACGTGGTTACTCGCTGGTACCGAGCCCCTGAGCTGCTTCTCTGCTGCGACAACTATGGCACCTCGATTGACGTTTGGTCTGTTGGGTGCATCTTTGCTGAACTTCTTGGGAGAAAACCCCTGTTTCCGGGGACAGAATGCCTCAACCAACTGAAATTAATCATCAATATTCTTGGCAGCCAAAGAGAAGGTGAGATCGAATTTATTGACAACCCAAAAGCAAGAAAGTTCATAAAATCGCTTCCTTTTTCACAAGGGACTTCATTTTCTCGACTGTACCCTCACGCACATCCGTTAGCGGTCGATCTATTGCAAAAGATGCTAGTTTTCGACCCTTCAAAGAGGATTAGCGTTACAGAAGCACTTCATCATCCTTACATGTCTTCACTTTACGACCCCAGATGTGATCCGCCCATTAACGTTCCATTGGATATGGATATAGATGAGGATTTAGGAGAAGATATGATAAGAGAAATGATGTGGAAGGAGATGCTTCATTATCATCCTGAAGTTGCTGCTACTGCAAATGCATAATAGGTAAAATTTCTCACTACCATTGGAATTTTCGTTTATTTTCCATTTTCTCTCATTCTGGTCTTCGATCCTTATCATCTTTCAGTCTAAATAAGCATCGGGCATCATGCATTGGTAGCTTTGTCCCATCGAATGTATCATGCTTCAAAAACAATTGGCTTCCACGAGCTTGTTTTCAGCTTTACGCTCTTCTGTATATATATGCATCTCGTTGTTTTACTTCATTGTCAACAAAAGAGGCGAAAAACGACAGCCCTCTTGGATTTTTGTCATTGTTGTACATTAATTATGGATACATGAGATGATTAAAATGCTTTCTTTCCTGCACACTTGAACTGAACTTTGTATGCTTTGAAGTAAAGATTTCTTGGATGTGCTTGGGTTGGTTGATATACTATGCTAAACCTTAGAAGCCTAAATGTTTTGTGTTGCATGGAGTAGAGGTGAGGTCTGGATGGATGGTGAGATATACTATTGTTTTTCTTTTTTTGATTAACCTGAATATCCAATCCGCTATGCGAATCTCAGGGCGACCACCTGCTTTGCAAATAGCCCGGAGTCACCGCATTTGAACCTGCATGGCCACAAGGGGATTTTTATTCCTCCTTGGATTTGAACCTGGGACCTCCAGGTACTTTTGACCTTTGGAGTCAAGTTCAAACCAATCAGACACCACCCTCCACAAGGGGATATACTGTTGTTTGGTTTGGCTATTATTTACATTAGTTAAGGATGCACTGAATTTTGTATGTTTGAAGTAAAGATTTCTTCCAGATATGTTTTGTGTTGCATAGCTATGAGCTATCTTATCTGAAATCTGATGCCTGGATTTTTGTCTCTGTTTTACAATTAAAATGCTTGTTTTTCCTGCACAAATATACTGTACAGATTTTGAAGGAATCTGATGGAATTGGAATGTTGAATTCCATTGATCAAATTCCATTCCCTCATTTGGTTCAATCTTTTTTACGAAAAAAATCTTGAAAATCCTATAAATTCCACAAATAAAAGAATGTATTCCTTAACAACTACATGGTATTTTGATGGAATGAAATTCTCTATTTTCATAATACCAAAATACCCCCCCTAACCCAATATGTCCTGATCTCATAAAACCCAATATGGCCATCGTCGACCACCGTCGATCTGAATCACCGTCGACCATCGCCATCTAACCTTTGTTGATCATCACCATCTGAACCACCTCCGACTACCACCAATTTGAACCATCGCCGACCACCACCGATCTGATCAACCGTCGATCTGAACCACTACCGACCATCGCCATTGAACCACCACGGACCACCACCGATTTGAACCACCGCCAACTATTACCGATCTGAATCATTGCTAGCCACCGCCGACTATCACCGATCTAAACAACCACTGATTTGATCTATCGTCGATCCGAACCACATCCGACCACCGCCACCAATCTGAACCACCGTCAACCACCGGCGACTACCACTGATCTGAATCACCGCCTGACACCGCCTATCTGAACCACCGTTGACCACCTCCATCTAAACCACCGTGGACCACTATCGATTTGAACCACTGCCGACCATCGCCATCTGAACCATTGCAGACCACTATCAATCTGAACCACTGTCGACCACGTTAATTTAGTAACGTCGTTTGACTTATGGTTATATTTGGATTGTGTGTTTTATATTGTTTTACATGTTAAATAATTATTTTATTAAAGTACTTTTAGTTTTTTTTTAAAAATCAAAATTTTCAAAAAGGCCATTTTTGTCGTTTACCGATATTTCATTCAAATTCTGAAGCTACATTCTATGAACCAAACAGATAACCTTAACAGATTACATTCTAATGTCCGCCAACCAAACAGGACTTCCTGGATTTCTTTTTTAAAGAGTAAATTACATTTTTCGTCCCTATGATTTACTAAAAATTGTGATTTTCATCCCTATAGTTTGTAATTTATTGCTATTTTCGTCCCTAAACTAATTTTCACCTTTAGGACCAAACAATTTATAGTGCATATACCAAATTGTATGGAGTTAAATCATTTTAAGTTATAGTTTTTATATATTTAAATAAAATACAATTTACATGAAGACAAAATAGGGTTAACTAAGACATATAATTGGCACATTAGGTGGTCCCAAAAGGTAGAGGTGAAAAGTAAAGCCTCTTTGGATTTTTGTCATCAATGTTCATTAACCATGGATTCATGGCAACGATTGAAACGTGTGTATTTTTGTGGTACAATAATATTGAATTTTCTCGTACAATCATATAATTATCATTAAAAAAATTTATAATATTTTTCAAATATGAAAAATGTGACATAATACACTTTAATTTTCATGGTTATTTTTTTTAAATTACAAGTTCGATGATAATATTAGTCGAGAAAAAATATGTTGAAATAAAGTTGGTTAAGGGGGTGTTTGAGATTGCTTATGGAAACAATTTATTGACTTGTTGCGGTGTGACAACGGTAATAAACACTTTTGAGTGTTTGGATAAACAGCTTACACCGGTGTCAAACCGGTAATAAGAAGTTTTTGAAAAAGTTAAATAATTCTAAGTTATAATCAGTTGATAAAATTTTTTGTAGAAAAACATAAGTTATTTCAAATAAGCAATTCCAAACACCCCTTTAACATAATACTTTGATTCCTCTTGTTGCCCCCTAGACTTTTGAGTCAATGGCTTTTTGCCCCCTTCATCTTTAGAAATGGGCATGTTGACACTAGTATCGAGTGTTTTTACTTTTTATATATTTTGGACCGTATTTTTTATTAGCTTTTTGCATTAAGCCATTGTAACATCCAATTTCTAATATGCCCAATTATTTGCTTAATATATTTAATTATTGGGTTAAAGAGAACTTATGATTTAGTGGGAGTTTGAGTCTGAAGTTTTAGAATTATATTTCTTAAGAATATATTAGAGGATTTGGAAAATATCACGTCAAATAGATACGTAAAACGAATTTTTTTGGGAGATCTTTTCTGGAATATTTTTATTGAATGTTATAGATTATCTCTTTATGAACGTGTAGGCGAAAACCTCATAGAAAACGGAGGTCCGAGCAAAAAATTATGAATATTTTAAGTGTTGATATTCAAAATGGGTACCTAGCCGGGCCAACCTGGCCCAACTTGAGTTTTAGCATTATAAATTGGATTTTTGGCCCATTTTTCTTGTCATTTAAGTCCAGAACTCACACACACACTAGAGGTGCGATTTTCACACACATAGGCTTGATTCAACTCAAATCAAAGAGGAACTACAAGATCTTGGAAGGATTTGATCATCAAGTAAGGTATAATCTATTTTTGCACTTGTTCTTGGTTGACATTCTTGTTTTATGGATTGCATGTTGAGATAGAGTTAAGGTTTCATATGAGTTTGATCTTAAGTGTATAAAATTTAGTGCTTTTTAGTAACAAATTTGAATGAAGAATTTGATATAATTGATGGTAGTTTGTAAAAACATGGTTCGTACAAAAAAAACTATGTTTTATTCTGTTTGGAATATTCTTATGAACTGATAGATGTGTGGTGAAGGTTCTTGCAACGACGATGGTGGTGGGGGTAGAGGAGATGGTGAATGTGGATAACAGTGGTTATGGAGGATGTGAAGATGATGGATAATGATGGTGGTGATGACGGTCGCCAATGTTAAAGGAGGGGAGGTACTTGGATGATTTGGTGGAGGTAGAGATGGTAATAGGGTGGTAGTGGTAAACGATGGTGGTGGTGGTTGACAACGGTGATTATGAAGAATGAAAAGATGGTGGACAACATGTGCGGTAGAAATTGTTGCATCGACAATGGTGATGGAAGTAGAGGAGGTGGTGGCTATTGGACGGCGGTGACTGTTGTTATAACCGGGTTAAGGGTTTGAAAATTTGAATTGTAGCAACAAGTTGAGGGGTGTGTTTTGAAAATTTGGTTTAAAATATCATATGCTTCACCGCCTCGTGTATATATATAAGTATATATGTTTTCTTTTGTCATTATTTGAGGGTTTTGGAGGTAAGGGAAGTTGGTGGTAAAATGTTTATGGTTTCCTAGGTTCGAAGTAAATTGAAGCAGAAGAAGAGAGAAGAAATTGTTACGTGTTCATATCTGATTTTCATGGCATTTTTATATCTGCAATCTATTTGTGTTTATAAAGTTAGTTTTTACTTTAAAGAATCATTTAATTTGCTTTAGTAAGGAACCGTATGGTTCCATACGTGGGGTGTTTTAAATGATTATATGCTATATATTATCATAATTTGAGTTTTGATATATTATTATTATCAACAGATTGTAATAAGTGTGACAAAATCAGGAGCTGAATTTATTTTGTAATAAGGGTGACATAATCAAGAGTTGGGTATATTTTGTAATAAGGGTGATATAATCAGGAGCTGAGTATACTGGGATAAGAGTGACATAACCAATTTATGAAAATGATGATATTTTGATCATGGGTTATTGTTATCGCATGTTTATGATGAAATGTGATTGATTTTATCGCATGTGTCTAATGCGATGAAATTGGATTGGATTCAAAATGTTATTTTATCGCATCCTTACGGTGCGCCAAAGGGGTAGTTATCGCATCTATATGATGCGAGGAATTGTGGTTATCACATGCTTGGGGTGCGACAAGTTTATTTATCGCATCAATGTGATGCGACAAATGTGTTTATCACATCTTTATGGTTCGACAAGTGAGTTTATCGCATCTGTTAGATGCGACGAGTTGGGGTTATCACATCTGTTGGATGCAATAAGTAGAGGTGATCGTATCTATAGGATACGACAAAATGTGTTTATTGCATGTGTTGGATGCGACAAAAATATGTTATCACATCAATGAGATGTGACAAGTTGGTGTTCAATGTGTTTAATGAGACAACTTTGATATTTCTTTGGATTTAATGCGATGAAAATGGGTTGTATCATCTATATGATGCGACAAATGAAAGTTTGTTAAAATAAATGATAATTGCATATTATCTTTTCAAATATTGACTTTCCAGAAGTGTTTTGGTTATTTTAAGGGAAAAGTACAATAAAAATCAATGAACTTTCTTGTTTGGAATGATTAAGTCCTTGGACTTTTTTTTGGAACAAATAAGTCCTTGGACATTCCAAAACATGTTAAATAAGTTCTTGGACAATTTTTTGGAACAAATAAGTCCTTGTACATTCCAAAATATGTTAAATAAGTCATTGGACAATTTTTGGAGCAAATAAGTCCTTGGACATTCCAAAAAATGTTAAATAACTCCTTGGACAATTTTTGGAACAAATAAGTCMTTGGACATTCCAAAAAATGTTAAATAACTCCTTGGACAATTTTTGGAACAAATAAG